ATTAGCCGAGCAGGACGAGGGAGGAACGCACATTTGCAAGGGTAGGAGACGGAAAGAGGCGTCGAGGAACGTTTTCTGCCGTATGTGTACCCCGACGCTCCTGCAGTTTGTGCTTAAGTAGCATGTCTTTGTTGAATTTAGGAAGGAATTTAGGAGGTGTCGGAAAGAACGATGCTGTCAGTCCAATCAAACCTCATCTACCTCGGGGCAAAGAGCAGAAAGTGGGAATAGAGAAGGCACGAGTCGTGCAAGGCATTTTATGACAAAGCTACGCGACAGAAGAGGAAGGCAGTCACACATCAGCCAGACAAATTGCTAACAGGGGCAAGTACGCACGCAAAAAGAAAAAGAAAGAAAGAAACAAAGGAAGGTGCATTTCCTGTTTCCTGACTATCACCAGCAGTGGGGTAAGTCAACACACACACAGGTTGGAATGGGCCACATGAGGCAGAGCAATGCAGTTGCCTCTTGTTCTGGTGGCTTTTTTGGCGCAGTTGCTAAACTCCTTCCATGTGCCAAAGCATCACTTTCCCGCACAGGGCCTGCAGGGTGTACCCGACCAACCGCGCCTCCCTATTGTCTATTCAAACAAGGAAACAACCGAGCGTGGTGGTCGGCTGGCGGCTGGTGGGTATAATAGTACTAATAATACTCTTAAGGTTGCGGACGGCCAGTGAGCGGGCAGAGAAACGACCACGAAATAAAGTGCACGGGTAGGGGCCTCGTAAGGTATAAATCTAGCTGCCTGCGCAAAGAAGAGAAAAACGCGTTGTTATTGTGTCTGCAATCTATGCCGTACTGCAACATCATTCAAAAATAGATTGCTTACGCACCTGCGCCCCGACAACAGGAAGTATAAGAGTCAGCCCAGCCTCCTATCAGGGAAGGAGCACCTTTACAACCGTTTGTCGGGTCCGCGGTTTGAAGTGATTGGAAGGAGCGTCGAGGCTATTTCCTAGGCTGGGCAAAACAGGAAACTGCTCACTGCACCTTGGACCTTGGGCGTCGTTTGGCAGGAGCAGTTTCGAGAGTAACAAGTTCGACATTGTTTAGTGCATTTTCCCATCTTTCCTTGTTGTCTGCTGTCGGTCCCTGCTTGGACCTGCATTTCTCAACAAGGGAATGAGGGGTTACGCGCTAGGCGAGATTCCGGGGTAAAAGTCAAAGGCCAACCAGGACCCAATCGACGCTCAGCACACGCTGTGCGAGCAGCCGTTCCTTCCCAATTTTGCCCCTCTCTTTGTTGTTGCCTTACTGTCCCTTCCCAGCCTTGTAATTGTTATTGGCCACTGCCTCATGGGAACTGACTCGACTCATCACGGACCCGTGAATCGCCGACCGCGAACGTGTTGAGCTGCCTGTGCTGACGTGAACATGTGTCTCTGATGCGCTTTTGCTAGTTCGCAGCCCGTTTTTGTGTTCTTTGTGGTCGTTTTGAGTCCTTTGCGTCACCGTTCACCGTGCACACCACCCCCATCCGAGCCCTCCCCGGCGATAGATGAAAAACACGCTCCTCAAGGACAACCGACCTGTTCGAGATCCAACGAGACCTGCGGATGCGCCGATACCGAGCATAGAAGCAATGCATACTCTTTCCAATCCGATGCCGCGCCTCTTTGGCCGGTCGCAGACACCGACGCCGGCACAGGCACAGGCACAGGCACAGGATCCGCCGGATCCGCCGGCTCCTCGCGCCAAGCTCGTCCGGCGCACAGGTGACCATTTCTCGCCCCTCCCCGGACGTCCCGGACAAGCCGGATATGCAGGCTCCGCCTCGTTCGAGCCGCTCCATCGTGAAGCCAGCCTTGCATCTGCGTCGCTGGCATCCGCATCCGCGTCCGCATCCGCGTCGGCGTACGAGGTGCTCCTAAACGGCCCTGACCGAAGCAGCCTGTGCGGAAGCAGCATTGGCGGCGGCGGCGGCAGCGGCGGCGGCGGCAGTACCAGTGGCCTGCAGAGCCAGCAGCACCGCTACTACGCCGTGCGCTCACAACGAAATCTACACCGTTCATGGCTGGCGGTAACAGACGCCCGAAGACCGTCGGCGTCTGGTGAACGGCCGCCACCGCGTAAGCTGGTCAAGGATCCAGGCGGATCGGCACGCCCGTCGGCGTCGAGGGAGATTCCGGACGAGGAGGGCGACCTACGCCGAACGCCCGTAGGCGAAAGCCCCCACAACAACAGTGGAAGTGCACCGGCACACGATAGGGGCAGCTTTGGCGGCCCCAGCACACTCGGCATCCGACGAAAGATATCCCGTTGGCGCGACCTTCGCTGGTAGACCACGGCATCACGAGCCGCCGGATCACTCGGCCGAAGGACGTGGAACAATTGCATATTTCGACTTTTATCTTGCATATTCGGCCTTGCTTTGCATTTCATTTGGTTGCGTTGCATCCTGCTTTCTGGTCTTCTCTTTTCCTCTGTACATTTCTATTTGCTTTGGATAGCGTTCAGGCGTTCTGTTTATTCTCTGGTTGCAAAGACACATTCTGATTTTCTTTTCTGTCAGCTATAGATAGTTCATACATCGTATACCATGCCGACCTACATTTTATCTGGAGATACATCTTGAACTAAGACTGGTCGTCGATCCATGGTTATATCTGATGTAGCACGCCTTAACGTCTCAAATGCGTGCGTTTCTGCTACAGCACTGGCTATTGTTCACTAACCCCACTAATGCGCCACCAATACAGGCATGTTTGGTGCTGGAGGCATCACTTGTAACGCTGTTAAGAGCTAGCTCCCAATAGCCTAGGTCGAGCTCTTTATCGAGCTCGTTCTTATCGCCCAAAAATTTCTGCCTTGCAAAAGTATCGTCGACAAGCACCAGTACGACAGACACGGAGTGCCTCAGCCTTGCATTCGCCCTTGCTCTCCCGATCCTCCGTCATCCTCGACTACACACACGCAGCCTCGCAATGGCACAACAAAAGGGCCAATTGGCCCGCCCCATCTTCGCCAAGATCGCACCGCACGAGTTCCTCGTCGCCAACCTCGCGCGCGACGGCCAAAACAACCAGAGCCAACAAGGCACCCGACCAAACGGCCGTGGCACCGACGAGTCCCGCGATTTTGACGTGCATACCGGCTCGCTGTCGCAGGCCCACGGCAGCGCCGCCGTCCGTCTCGGCCGCACGCGCGTTATCTGCGGCGTGCGTGGCGAGATCCTGCCTGTCGCCAACATCCCCCAGTTCCGACCATCCGCCGTCACGCCCGACCGCTCTGCGGACCACGCCGTGGAGGCCGACAACCGCCGCCAGCTGCGCGACTACGACTTGCTGGTGCCCAACCTCGAGCTGGCGACCGGCAGTGCGCCCGAGTTCTTGCCCGGCGGCCCGCCGTCCGTGCTGGCCCAGGTGCTGAGCACGCGGCTGTACGCCCTGCTGCACAGCAGCGGCCTCGTCGACGCCGAGGCGCTCAAGATTTGGCACACGCCGCGGCGGGCGGCCGATGGCGCTGACGAAGACATGGACATTGATGAGGAGGAGCCGGCGGACGCAGAGGGCGACGGCGACGGCTCCCCTCGCAGACCAGAGATCAAGGCTTACTGGACGCTCTATATTGACCTGCTCTTCCTCTCCTTTGACGGCAACCCCTTGGACGCCGCCTGGGCCGCCATTGTTGCCGCCCTCCGAGACACGCACCTGCCGCACGCCCGCTGGGACGCCGATCGCGACCGCGTCGTGTGCTCCCCGCCCTCGGTGACACCTTCACCGCCCCTGACGCTGCGTGGCCTTCCCGTGGCGTCGACGGCCGTGGTGTGCGTCGAAAACCGGAAACGGCAGCAGAGACAGAGCAGCGAGGTGGCCGGTGCGCACTGGATTCTGCACGACCCGGACCGGCTCGAGGAGGGCCAGTGCCACGAGACGGTGACGGTCGTGGTCGACTGCTCCAGCGGCACTGGCAAGGCCACAGTGGTGCGCGCGCTGTCCAAGAGCGGCGGCGTGCTCGTGGGGCCCCCGGAGCTGCACATGCTCGTGGCCTCGGCCGAGAAGCGGTGGACGAGTCTGTCCAAGGCATTGGGACACGGTCAGGGTCCATGAGAGTAGGTGGCCCGTCGCGGCAAGGAAAGCTACGGAACGAAATAATGACAAGGCCACGACGAACGCCCTTGTCGCCTGGCCCCAGATAGATACCCAAGGAGGGGACGAAACCGGCAAGCCAAGGTTCTGGCGGAAACGAGAAGGCCGGATCCATAGAGGCCAGCCAGCCATGGCTGAGAACCATGTCCGAGATAAGAGCACGGCATTTCGTGGTAGCGGCACAGGGTGCAGCACAACAGACGACAGGCTACCATGAGAGTGCATAGAAGCCGCATTCGTCGGCAGCTTGGCAACACTTTACACAACGGCTCGCCATTCGAACCCCTTGGTCCTTTCACGGCTTATAATGGTAATGAGATACGCCATCTGTCATGTGGCATAACTGTTACGCATTTCGCACGATGCATGCACACCAGGCACGTCACACAAAAGACGCAGATATGCAGAGCAATCGAAACTATCAAAAATATCAAAATATAATGTCCCGACCTTTCGAACCATCCTTACAGGCTTGAGGGTCGCCCCTTAAAATCAAGGGCAGTAGATACAGGTGGAGTGGCAGTCAATCTCCCACTCCGCAGCATAACGGTATGCGCTCCAGTGAAGGCGCGCATGGTCCGACAATGCAGCACGGGGAGCCATCGACACACGTAAACATGTGGTTTGAGCAGCCGTCGCATGCGGTAACAGAGTGGGTTGTTGGAGAAAAGAGAAAAAGAAAAGAGACGGAGAGACGGACTGGAAAGTGGTGAGAAAGCTTTTTCGGCAGGCACCGTGCCGGAGAAACGTGTATCCGTGCTAAGCGTGGACAGCTTCGACAACTGGGTCGTGCCTTCCTGCCCCACTTGCGCATACGAAAGTCTCACATCTCAATTTCTGCCTGTCGAAAAGCTTCATTTCTTCTTGTCCCCATCGCAGCCATTGCACCGATACCCATTACAAGAGCAGGTCATGGAGTCCCTTTCCGACACCATCTGGGATGTTGTCATCTGCGGCACGGGGCTGCAACAATCCCTCCTTGCGCTGTAAGTCTCCTCTCCTGCCGTTCCTCTGTTGATTTTTCTCTTTTTTTGATTTCCAAGCGCCGTTTCCGAGTCCTTGTTTCTGACTGACTGTAGCCCCTGACTTATGATTTTGTCGTGACGTTTTGGCTTTATATGATACAGAGCCCTTTCCCGCTCCAACAAGAACATTCTGCACATCGACCCGAACCAGTACTATGGCGGGTCCGAGGCCGCGCTGAGCCTGGCCGAGGCCGACGCGTGGGCCGCGGCTCGTCCGGAAGCGTCGGCCGCGCGACCGACAGCCGCCACAGACGGTGCTGTTCGACTGGGACCGCTGTCGGCATACTCGGTCGCCTTGGCACCGCAGTTTCTGCACGCGCGGTCGCCCCTGGTCGAGCTGCTTGTGTCGTCGCGGGCGTTTCGGCAGCTCGAGTTCCTCGCCGTATCGTCGTTTTTTGTCCTCGAGTCGTCGCCGTCATCGTCGTCCGGCCCCTCGAACCCCTCCCTCGCCCGCATCCCCGCTACGCGCGAAGACGTCTTTGCCAGCACCGCCATGCCGGCCCGGGCCAAGCGCCAGCTGATGAAGTTTCTCAAGTTTGTGCTGGCCTTTGATGGCACGGACACCGGCGACGACAAGGGAGACGGAGACAGCGCCTGGCAGAGCCACGCGTCCGAACCACTCGGCGCATTCTTGCAGTCGTCGTTTGGTCTGGACGATCGGCTGCGGGACAACGTGCTCGCTCTGACGCTGTCGCTGGACGGCGCGGGCGTGACGGTGGCACAGGGGCTGGCCCGGCTGCACCGGCACATCACATCGATGGGTCTGTTCGGGCCCGGGTTCGCGGCCGTGTATCCCAAGTGGGGCGGATGCGGCGAGATCGTGCAGGTGGCGTGCCGTGCGGCGGCCGTGGGCGGCGGTATCTACATGCTGGGCAGCGGCATCAAATCCGTGAGCGTGGCGGCGCCCGTAGAGAAAGACACACAACAGGATCAGCTCTTGGAGCTGGAGCTGACGCGTGATATGACTGTCAAGACCAAGCTGCTCGTGCGTGGAAGTGAAGCGATTGGTGGGCCGTCATCCGAGGATGTGCCAGCGTCGACCAGCAAGCAGAGTGGACAGCACCTCAGCCGGCTCATTGCGGTGATTGGTGCCCCGCTGCCGTTCCTGTTTGCACCGACAGTCGAGGGCGCGCCCGTGGCCGGCGGCGCGGTGATAGCGTTGCCGGCTGGTCGTCCGGTTTTGGCCGATGGGGCGGCGTCCGAGCACCCCGTCTTTGTGATGGCACACTCCAGCGACACAGGAGAGTGCCCAGTTGGTCAGAGTGAGTCCGAGTCCACGCTTCTGTTTTTCCTTTGTCCGCACCCTTTTGTCCATCTTCCTGCACCCCCCAAAAAGCTACATGATGATTCATGAATCATACAAAACTTATCTACATTGTCTGAGCTCTGCTTTGACGAGAACATATTCGATCTGATCTGCTTTCTTCTCTTCCTTTTGTTTGGCACAATAGACCACTGGATGTTCTCTCGAATGGCTGGAGACTAACCGCAACAGGTGTTTTGCACTTCACAACCATCCGTACCGAGGGTAGCAAGGCCGTTTTGGAGAGCGCGCTGACGACGCTACTTGCTGCCTTTGCAAAGGAGGCGAGCGGTGATGCAGAGGGTAGAGCCAATGAGGAGAGTCCTTCGATCCCTGTCCTATACAGTCTGTATTACGAACAGCCAAGGGGCGATGAAGCGAGAGTTCCGGATGCTGAGCCAGAGCCAGAGCCAGAGCCAGAAACAGAGACCCCTTTGGGCGTCTTCCGCTTCCCGCCGCTACCCGTCGACCTAATGGTGCAGGACGCGCCGCTGGAGGTGGTCCGCGAGGCGTGGCGTCGGGTGATGGGCCCCGAGGAAGACGACGCTGCGTACATGGCGTTTGTGGACCGAGAAGGCAGCGACGCTGATGACATGGAGTACGATTGATTGCACTGCCAGACATGAGCACGAGCATGAACGTGACGCAAGGCGGATCATGGAACGAGTGGTGTATGTTTTAACGACGGCTATTTGCAACGATACAATACTTAATGAGGTCAGCTTTAATGCACTTTGTCTTTTTTTTCTCGGAATGCCCTTGCGCTTTTAATAACGGCCGTTGTTACACCCTAGCCGACTGGCTGTTGCTATCCGCCAGGTCGCATTTGGCCCTCCTTTGGTCGTTCTATTTGTCGGATACGGGACAGGGTGCATCCTATCAGACGGCATGGAAATATAACGAGGGAACGAGGGTTTAGGGGAGATTGGACAGCATGGGACGCTGCGAGGATGGCCCGTCGGACGCTTCGCGCACCTCGGGAGCGGCACAGGACCAGAGGTCGGATCTTGTCAGGCCAGGTGAGGCCAGGCAGAGTGACGACGACAAAACGATGTTGCTTCGATGGGTCGATCTATCTCAACGGCAGATGCCCAGTGTGCGTACCGAGTATTGCCCGTCGTCGACCCGCTTATAGGTCCAGCTCACGGATGTGACTGAACGAAGGACCAGTATCTTCTGTTTGTGACTACTGTCATTCGGCCACAGGCACAATCAAAGCCCGTCAGACCTCCGTCACTCCTCGGTCATCCAACTTCCATCATTTTGCTGCTTCCTTTTTGGTACACTCGGCATGCAAGCAGGCGTCTATACGACGAATATGGCTTTTGTGCGACACGCCTTGGTGCAACAACGGCGACACTCCCGACAGGGTGTTACATGTTTCCCGATCTCGGATGTTCTGAAGACCGTCGACAGATGACAACCGTCACAAGATAAGAAGCAAGCATCGAGAGTCTACGAGGTAGGTGACAGGTGTCTTCTGTCGGGCTTTCGATTGCCATGCGAATAGCAGGCCAAGACGATAAAGCGTACATTCATACGCAAAGGGGTCTGATACGAGCATGGCCTTGTCTTGGGCGGAAGAAAATATCCGTGGAGTACGAAATAATCAAATATGAGAAGAGCTGCAACTGTTGGTTTTTTTTATGACTCCAATAGAGGAGCATAAACCCAGCCCGAAACCCAACCCGAAAACCTCACGGAGAACCGGGAAACATGCCCGTTGCTTGAGGCGTCTCTCACCTCGGGGGTCGTCGTGGCAGTCATATGACGCCAACGACATGTAGGCCGAACGCACCATGCAGCCAAACGATGTTGGCCCAAACCAGGGTAAGACCGAGTAAGACATGCCAGAAACTGGAGCGGTGAGACAGGCACCTGCGTGTCCTCTCCATCCTTGCATCTTTGTTTGCTTTCCTAAATCGTTCACCTTGAGGGCCATCCTGGCGTTTCTTCTACCTGCGCTGGGGTTATTTTCTCGTTTTTGTTTTCTTCTTCTCCACTTTCAGTCTATGATGTATCCATTACTCCCTCCTCGGCTCGTTCTCGTTCCTGGTTTCTCACGAAAAAGGTCTGACGGCGTCTTGGTTAGCAACCTTGTGTCACCTTCTGTCTTTTGTCGTTTCTGTTTCCTTGCCTTTTCCTTGTGTACGACGCAGTACGCTGTGTTTGTGTGTTCATTCTCCGTATGTTCTGCTTGAGCTACCTTTCTTTTTCCAGTCCTACCAAGGTGTTTTTATTGTTTTTTTTTTAAAAAAAAATCTTTTTGCTTTCTACTTTTCTTTAGAAATAGCCGCATCTGTAATACCACCACCCTATTGGCGCCACCTATGACCGCGCCTTCCCGGCTGCATCGTACACATACCACATTCCACCTGTACCTTTGCAAGCGGTCTTCCAGGTCGTCCGTCTATGGTCACTGCATAAACACGGTACGTTTCATCCTACTCTTGCCTGCGGTCGGTCGGCTCTGGGCCGCCGAGGATGTCCGTCGTACATGCCCATCGGTTGACTAGCCTTTGGCTGTGTTCCTGCGGGCTTCCTCACAAAGCACAGAGTATTACAACGTATTACGTCGTACGGTTACATTTCCAGTTGGCCGTTGCAGTGTCACTTCCGCAGCTCGCAGCTCGCAGCTCTTTCCGCACCTTCCCAAGCCTCGAAATACCCGCCAAAGAAACTTGGTGTGTTCCGCTAGACTTCCGTCCTTCCCCGTCAAATATGTGCCCGTCTGTATGTGTACCTCTTTCACCCTTTTTACATTCTCATCCCGTGCTTTTCTTTTTTTCTTTCTTTTTTTTGGCCGGGGGGGGGGGGGTACGGATTTCGGACGCCTTCTTGGTTGCGAGGCGTCGTATTGGGGTCACACTCGGTGTCTTTTCATCTGGCCCACCCTCAGATGGCTCGTGTGTGCGTCCCGTGCACGTTTGTTTTGCCTGGGTCGCTTTCTAGGCCACCCAGATCTCTTATTGGGTCATGATTTGGGTCACTTTGCGTCGGGTCCTTTCTGGTTCTGTTTCTTTGGGTCGACCGGATCGGCAGAAAAGATGATTTGTCGCAACGCGAGGACTGGGAAAGGCTAAAATACGAGGAGGCATTCGATCCCACTGAACACGAACGGACCACGGAGTATTCCCACAACCCGGTAGATGGGCTCATCGGTCAGCTTTGGCTCATTTTCCCTTGCGTTCACCCTCCCTTCCCTCCCGCCCCCCATCTGCACTCCGATGGGTAAAGATGCACATGCACGAAGGCCAGGTAGGTCTAGCTTCGTCGGAGCGTCAACACAACAAACGCAGCCAAGTGTGCTTCGGGCGGTCCCTATCTGCACGTCTGTATTCTTTTCCCCCTTTCCTGGCTAAGCTCACGGAGGTCGGGCGAGGTCGACTGTTGTCGTTTCTTGGATGGCGTTGGCGCAGTTGAAAAAATGCACTATCGTCCCGCTAAAACGGATTGTCAGGCCGCTAAGATTACAGGGACGGGCGCTACGGGGGCTTCCGCTAGAAGGGCCGCAAAATGTGCTAAGATACAGGGAAGGACGGTCCAGCACCTGCCTTCTGTCCACACCACTACAGTCGCCCACGACCGTCACTCTACACAGTCACCCAATCAAGGTCAGCCTCACTTCTACGTATCCTCATTCCAGGCCATTCCAGGCGGTCTTCTTCCTTTCTCCGGAGACCGCGATAAAGCGAAAATGAGAGACTCCTGCCGTGGCGCCCAGGAGAGCTCAATATGGGAAGTTGCAGGAACGACAACCTTGACAACAAATCTTACGGGAAAATACGACGTTTTTACAAGACTATTTCTTTTCTTTCATCCTCGTCTCTGCACAGGCACCTCGTACGACATACTCTGTATCCATCAAGCACGTCTTGGGTTATGTATTGGCTTTGGTGACAGTGCTTGCAGGACGTTTGCTTGTTTTCTCACCTTCTCCTCTTTTTCTCCTTTTCTTTTCCCTTTTCTTTTTCCTTTTTCCGCCTCACTTTGACCCCTGTCCTGACCACCTGAAATGTCTCTCATTTTCAGCCCCAGCTGTTTATCCCGTCTTTTGCTCTTTTTCCCGTGGTTACGCACTGCCCAGATTCGAGACACTCCCAGATTACCGGGAAACTCTAGAAACAAGAACCGAGAAACACAGAAATCGCAAAAAGTTGCCCACATCCCCCCCATGCTTTGCCAATCTGTGTCTCGTCTCAGCAGTGTAACCTCGCAACTCTCAAAGTCTCTCATTGGAGACACCATCGCTGTAATACGTTGTGCATGTGTGTGCACCTGTCAAAACAAAGAAGATTCATCCAAACAAGACTAAATAAATAAATAATAAATAATAAATAATAAATAAATAATAAATAATAAATAATAAATAATAAATAATAAATAATAAATAATAAATAATAAATAATAAATAATAAATAATAAATAATAAATAATAAATAATAAATAATAAATAATAAATAATAAATAATAAATAATAAATAATAAATAAATGATAAAAGAAAAGACGAAACCTAGTCAAAGCGCGTCGGTTATCAACGTCGGTTCTGTCTCCCGTCTCTCGCTTCGCTCGTTTTCCCCATTGTCGAACAATACCACCGTTCCGGTTCCATTCGCCTTGTCTTCTCCACATATTCCCATATTTCCCCTCTCCAACGACAGCTCCTAAAAGAAGGGCTTTATTTTACGGAGTGTAGAGTTTCGAAGGCGCTGGAATCTGTCCACCAAACTACTCAGCTCTGTAGTTGCCGTCGTCTATCTGTTGACTGCGGACCTCTGTGTGTTTTCTCGTTGCAGAGGGAAAGACACCACGAATGGGAGACCGGGCGCTGTTTACCGTGAACTTACACTTGTCTTTCTTTTTAAAAATAAAAGAGCTGCTGTCGTCTAATGCTTACGATAGCGATGCACCTGTTGGCAGGGGGGGCAAAGGTTGGGCAGACCCAGCTGAATGGGTCGCCATCCCTCGGCAGCTTCTGCTTTCACTCGACTGACTTACCTCCTACCCACCTTCTTACCTAGCAATTGTTTGTGTCCAAACGATATACGGAGTCCTTTGCATCGTCGTCTCATCTCGCCCCCCATTTCTGGTATCTTTTACTTTCTTGTTCATATTTGCAATCTTTCTTTTATGATTCCCGCCACCGTGGTCCAGGGACAAGACAGGCAGAATCACATTCGGATGCCCATAACACGCATATTCGCGTCATCTTTCCGCCAGCCCACCCCCCCTTCATCGAACGCTGGCAATACAATCAGCAGCTTCACTCCCTTGCTGCATGCGGAATAATACCACACTGTACACCGTGACGCGAGAGTAGAGAAAGGATAAAGAGAAGCCGTCAAGAGAAGTAAATCAAAATCAAAATAGACGATAGACGATAGACGAGGAAGGACACAGTACATGACACTCTAGTTCTTGCAACGAGGTGAGCTAAGAAATATGGTAACAAATCTGTCCGAAAGAAACCCATCATCCTTTCAAACCTGCCGTCACAAACATATCAGCCTCCTCACCTTGTTACACCTTGGTACACCTCGTCTCCAGACCGCAGTCGGTCATCCGCCATGACTTGGGGCCATGCAACCCAGTACGGATGGACCGTTTCCGCGTACCATCTTTTCCTATTTTGGGTGTTTTTTTTCTTTTTTTTTTTTTTTTTTTTTTCTTTTTTTCTTTTCCTTTCTTGTGTCTATTTTGCGTTCGTCCTTATTTTGTGCTCTCCCTTTCTAGGCACACGCTCCTCTCCTGCTCGACCTCGGACAAACTGCCGGCTTCTATTTTCTCAGTGAGGCTGGCTTACTGGGTTGATTTATTTTCAATGTGATTGTCGATCCTTCTCCCTCGCCGTCTCTTACTCAAGTGCCACTCCGCCTAGTCCAGCTGGCTTCGGCTCATTTTCACCTTGTTCAGACACTTTCAATCCCGGCACGATCCTATTCTACTTCTCTTTTCTTTTCCCTGTCCGACTCTCTATTTACTCTCCAACTCCTCGTCTTTCTTTCTTTTTTTTTTTTTTTTTTTTTTTTTTTTTTTGTTTGTAACCCGTTTTTTTTTTTTTTTACCCCTTTTTTTTTTCCCTTTTTTTCCGGTTTTTCGGGTTACCGTTTTTTACTTTTTTTACGGTTTTACCGGGTTTTCCCCGGGTTTACCCCGTTTTTTTACCGTTTTTTTTTAAGGTTTTTCGGTTCGTTCCCTTCCCCCCCTTTTTTTACCCCGTTTTACCGGGTTACCGTAACCGACCCGGTAACCCGTTCCCTTCCCCTTTCCCCGTTTCCGGTTCCGTTACCCGTTACCCCGGTTACCCGGGTAAACCCGTAAAAACCGTTAACCGGGCCCGGGTTCCCGTTACCTTTTTACTTTTTTTCCTTTACTTACGTTAGGGTACGGTCGGTCGGGTTACCTTTACGGTTTCGGGGTTTGGTTAGTTTTTACTTTTTACTTAATTGTAGTTAGTTTCGGTTCGTACGTTCCTTTCCCTTCCCCTCCCGGTCCCGTCCGTTCCTTTACCTTACCGTAAGTACGTACCCTACCGTCCCGTACCCGTTACCGTACCGACGTCGTCGGTTCGGTTCCGGTCCGTACTTACTTTTACCTTACCTTTCGTTCTACGAACTTACTTACTAACCGTCCCGCCGACGTACTACTTACTTCTTACTTCTTTCTTTTCCTTTCCTTCGTCGTACTCTCTTATTCTCTACTACTCTCTTTTCTTTTTTTTTTTTTTTTTTTTTTTTTTTTTTTTTGTTTAAACATTTATTTATGAATCAAGATCGGACCGCTTCTAATTTACTTCGTCCTCAGTATTCATCTTACAGCCGTCTCACCGCCTTATTCTGTCAATAGTAGCTCGGAATACGAGACCGACCACCATTCAAACTCGACAGTGACAAAAAGGTATGCAGTCTGGCCTCACTCACTTCTATCACATTTTTCACCGGAACACAGAGTACAGTATACTTTTTGACAGCACAGACTTTGCAGTGTCTCCCGTTCCCCTTTCTTGTGACCATGATGGCCCCTTGACCAACGACCTCCACAGGCCAAGTCTCCGTTTCTCGTTTCTCATTCCTGCATTCTTTCCGTCCCCGAGAAGCTTCTTATACGAGCTACTGCTATCTTGTCCTCTCAGAGGCTAGCCGTCCACCTATCACAGACGGACCTGGCTGGCCCTTGTCCTGTTGTGTCTTCCGTACTCGTCCTTTTTCACCCGTCACGTCTCATGCAAACGAACCATTCACACCAGCATGCGAGGTAAAGTAACCTACAAACAAAACAGACACAAAAACGAAGAGAAAAACGAAAAAAAAGAATAGAAAATGAAAAGGACGAAAAGGGGAAACGTATCAAAAAGGAACTGCCACAAAAACCGACACGTGCTGCTGTTCTGCTGCCTTTGGACTTATTCTCCCTTTGCCTTACTCTCACATTGACTTGGGGTATATAAATTGTCCTCGTCCGACCATGTCGGTCCCCTTTTACGGGATTCACTTTTCTTTTCACAAACCCAACTCACAGCCCAAGATCACTCACCGTTTAGTATTCACGTCACTATTGCTTCACTCGTCCATAACCACTTGCAACTCGCGCCTTATCCTCTTCGCCTAGCTCTTCCTGTGCCCCAATTCCCTTCAGGAGGGTCTCCCCGTGTTGAAATAGACGGAGCAGCCGCAGCTAGCGCTGCTAAAATTTGGCCTGGGCCCTGAAGAACCGAACTCTCACGTCCCTCTCCTATTGCTTCTACAGCACTAGTCCGTCTCTGCCTGGCTAGTTCAGTTTGGAGGAGACGACGCAACCCACCAGACAGCCACCTCTGCCGCACGATTGTCAAAACACACGGCTTCTAACACCTTCTTTTTATTAGATCTTTGCTTCTATTACACTCGTTGCGCTCATTTTTCTTCTCATCACGCTTTCTTCTCGTCATTCTATTTCAGTACTACCTTCCCCTCGCTTCTTCCTCACTCCGAAATGGCTCAGCCTTCAGATGAGGCGGCGGCTCCGCCAGCTGCATTGCCAACAACCGGCCCTGAGGCGCCGTCTCCACCGGCACCTCCGTCTGCAGCGGCACAGCCGTCTCCATCAGCACCACGGGCACCACCGTCACCACATCCGGCACCGGTCGAGGATCTCGATGAGAATCTCGACGACCTCGTCCTCGCTGATCCGCCGCCCCTTGACCCCGTCTGGCTCCAACACGAGCTGGACCAGAACCTGCCCAATCCCCGTCCCGTCATCTCGCCTCTCGAACGCCAGCCCTTGTATGCTGTCGAGTGCCGTGAGCTCACCGCACGCATGACGGCGCCGGGCGCCCGTGACAGCCATCTGGCTGACGGTATTCGTGTCCAGCCGTTGACGGTGACGTCCTCCCTCGACGGCAGCGAGATTCCTCTGCTGGCCTACTCTCTCCAACAAGAGGGAGACCAACAAATGGAAGACCAACAAATGGAAGACCAACAAATGGAAGACGAAAAATTGGAAGACGAACAAATGGAAGACCAAAAATTGGAAGACGAACAAATGGAAGACCAACCAGAGGGAGACTCGAAGGGCACGACCACAGACACGACCACAGACACGACCACAGACACGACCACAGACACCACCGCACACACCACCGCACACAGCGACAGCCCCGACTATGCCGTGCTGTACATTCACGGCGGCGGACTGCACATTGGCGAGGCCGACAGCGAGGAGCTCTCGTGCCGGCGCATTCTCAAGGATGCACGCCTGCCGGCTGTGAACCAAGACGGGGCGGCCCCAAAGACACCCAAGACACCAACCCTCGTCGTGTACTCCGTCGGCTACCGCATCATGCCCCAGCACCCGGCCAGCACGTGTGTCGCCGACTGCATCGACGCCTACCGCCACGTCCGTGCGGCCCACCCGGACGCGGCGGCGACAAAGCTGCTGGTCGTCGGCAGCTCCAGCGGCGGCGAGCTGGCCGCGTTTGTGGCCCAAGAGGCGGCCAAGGCCAGCATGCAGGCGTCGGCCACGACCAACCGCGCGACCAGCGACATTGCCGGCGTCGTCCTCCGCTGCCCCGTCACCAGCGACGCCTTCAACGGCGAGGACTACATCCCGCCCGTCCTCCGCCCGCTGCACACCTCCGCCGCCAACCCGGCCTTTGCCACCACCCTGCTCCGCCGCATGAGCCGCCGCATCCCCCGCGACGACCTGCCCTACATGCCCCTCGAGGCCCCCACCGAGCTCTTGGCCGCCCAGCCGCGCCACTGGATCCAGGTCTGCACCAACGACATGCTCTACTCGGACGGCGTGTGCTACGCCAAGGCGCTGCAGATGGCCGGCGCGGCGGGTGTCAAGGTGGACGTGGTCGTCGGCTGGCCGCACACCTTTTGGCTCAAGACGCCGTGGATGGACCGCGCCCTCGAGGCCGACAAGGCCATGCTGCGCGGTCTGGCCTGGGTGGCAGGCGGGCCGTACACTGTGGGGGAGGAGTAAGTGAGTGAAAGGGTGAGTGAGAAACGGGAAACGGGAAACGGGAAACGGGAAGCGGGAAGCGGGAAAACGGTACACAGAGACGTTTTCTGTCTGATTGTCTTTTGTTGTTTTTCCAGGATTGGTTGGAAGCCAATGGGCTCGCGATAATTGTTCTTGACTGTTTCTATTGTATTTGGTGTTTCCGGTCTCTGTCTTTGTTAAACGCGCCGTAGGTAGGTAGACTGGTCTGGCGAGCAAACTCTGGCAAACAAAGCCTGTATGTTCATCAGCACCTTTTTTTCCAAGTTAGACATAAATCAAATCATAACACTGTTACGTTCGCATCGGCCAGAATTGCGCGGCTCACATGGCCAAAGAATGAAGAGACTTTGTGTTGTTTGCTTTCGAAAACGAGACAGAGGGAGGGCAAGGGAAACAATGATGTATAAACAAAGGAAAGAGAAATGAGGAAAGATGCCGACCGCTGCAAATGCGTTCTGTGAATGCAAACGCATACTTTGGTCTGTTCGTTCCCCGGCCGTTTGGAAGAAAAAGAAATAATGTATTTTTTCCCCCGATATTATCTTCTTTCCGCTATCTCCACAGCTGCTGCTAGAGTACACATGTGTTGTTGATGCAAGGGAAAAACGGTCACGACGGTAAAGGTGAAAGTGGAAACGCTCGTCGCTTATACCAGAGCCAGGTCGCCAAACTTCTCCTATGGGATTGTTAGTATTGCATTGTATTGCATTCCGGGAGGAACAAGAAGAATGCAACGCATGGGATGGGCCGTGTCTGTCGTACCTTGTAGCCCGGAACGGACCAGCGGCCCTTGGACACGAGCTTGGACGTCTTCTCGTCAATCGACGACTCGGCCGCGGCCACCTCGTCCACCGTCAGGTCCTCAAACGGCCGGGCCTCGTCAATGTTCTTGAGCGTCTTCTCCAGGTCCTTGATCTCCAGGTCCACCGTCTCCTTGGTGGCCTCGGCGTTGCGCACAGCCTCGACCTCAAAGGCCTCAATGGCCTTGAGCTGCCGGCTCACATCGTACGACGCCGGCTTGAAGGCCGCGAACCGCTTCTCGATCTCGTCCACCACCGCCGTGTTCTTGAGGATGCTGCGGTAGTGCGCAAAGTCCACCGTCGTCGGCTGCTCCGACAGCGCCTGCACCTTGCGCCGCACGTCGTCGTTGCGCTTCTTGAACGCCTGCAGCGAGGCCACCGTCTGGCCACGCAGGCCCAGCGACGTCGTCACCTTGGCCCAGTCGAGCTTGAGGGCAGCGGATCTCTGCAAAAAGAAAGACGCTCTTGTTAGCAAAAAGATTCGGCGTGGGGGTTGTCGTCGTCGGGCAATCTATCGTGAGAGGTTTTCGACGTGCGCGAATTGGATCGACTTCGAATCGTTTCGGGACAGCCGCGGCGCGCGAATTGGACCATGCCATCGCCGTCCGTCGCAAAAGCATTATCAACTTACAGCAGCCATGATGAAATTCGAGAGTTCGGGGAGTCGGGGGATGGGGTGTTGTCGGCGAGAGAGGAGAGGTGGTGAGATGCGTGTGGTTTTTGGTCCAAGTTTTGGCCAAGGGGACGACAACGGCTCGGGAGTCTAGTTTTCCCTCCTTCGCTCCTGCGCTCGGAAAAGCTAGGGCGGTTGCCATTTAAGAAAATTCCGGCTAGTCTGACCAATCACGTGACTAAATAGCGCAACGTTTACACCGAGGAAACCGCCAAAAGCAGAGGCATTGAATGGAAGATGCTGGTATTTATGATGAAGTTTTCAAAAATTCAAAAAAAAAAAAAAGTTTCTGATCTCAACATACAATCGGTCCAGCGTTGTTGTACAGCTGTTGGCGATATGTTGACTCCGGTGGCAGTCTCAAACAGCCACCTCCTACCTCGGACCGCCGAAGCGAATCAGCATCGTATTCTAGTGCCAACGTAGCAGGAGCAGCCGGCTCGCACCTTCCAACAGCTTTGCCATGATATCTCGTCCTTCAGCTCCACACAATTTAAGACTCCACGTTTCGATGTTCGAAAGTACAGTCTACCACAGTCATGACAAGAAGTGTATGGAAGCTCATCAATCTCAAAATGGATTCTTTTAATTGTAAATATGGCTGTAGAAGTAAAACCGACACCCCAACGGAGTCGACGTCAAGAAGGCCGCCAGGTCAGAGAAAGCAAGTAAGCTATGCTCCTTGCTACAAAACCTCCTCTGCGTATCGGTCCTGCTGTCGTGGAGGCTGTCCGGGCCGAGGGCTTTTACACGCTCAGCGACATGATCGAATTGACAATGTCGTTGTCGTTTTCTTTCAGTGCCTTGATGGCCTTCTTGCGCGACACGCCGGCCTGGGTCTGGACGAGCTCAATGTCCTTGTCCTCAATGCCGGTCGCGTCGACCTCCTCGTCGTCATCATCCTCTTCCTCCTTCTTGGCGCCCTCCTCGGCGCCGTGGTCGTGGTCATGATCGTGGTCGTGATCATGGTCGTGGCCGGCGTGGTCGTGGTCGTGGCTGGCCAGCTGCTGGGCAGCCGCCTGCTGGGCCGAGGCGTTCAGGTCCTCGACCTTGGCCTCACCGAAGACGCTGGGCAGAGTTAGTTGGGGGCTGCTCTGACCCAAGTGGCGTGAAGGGGGGCGGCAGAAGCTTACATGTAGCAGCCGGAGCTGGGCGAGCGGTAGACCTCGGGGTTGTTGATGACGAACAGAACCTGACAAGTTAGTTCTTGTTCTCTTCCATGTCCTTTGTCTCTTTCTCTTTCCCTCTCTCTCTGTGTTTGTTTCTCCTTCTCTTCGACGTCGACGTACGTTCTTGGGGCGGCGCAGGGTCACGCGGGTGATGCCCTCAACGCGGACCAGGTTCTGCTTCTCCAGCAGCTTGCGGGCCTTCTTCTCGTTGCGCGAGTGGATAACCGTCGTCGAGCCCGAGGGGGCGTTGACCTCAATGTCGGACTCCGCATCGCTGCTGTCCTCATCCTGCTCCTCGACCTTGACGTTGGTCGGCTCGTCGTCCGGAAGCTCCTCGACACGGGGGTTGGCCATTTTGATGATGGATGGAAGGAATGGATGAACTAGACGCGGTTGGTCAACGGGTATGGTCTTGCTTTGCGATGTGGTCGGCTTCAATGCGCGGCATGGGACGTCTGGGGGTGTAGGTTGACAAGAAAGAGGGGGTGGAGTGCATGGAAATTGTAGCTCGTCGCTGTTCTATTTTTCGCAAGCGATGCCACAGCCGGCGGCAAACGAGCGAGAAAAGGACGAGACGGCATACGCCTTCTCAGCGCCCGAATATCCGTCCAGAACCCTGCACAGACAATGCGTATTTCAACTTACAAAGTAATTGGGGCGGGTGGTTGTGATTTGGACGATGCGTTCTCCGTTCAAAGTGTCAGGCTTCTCTCGACAAACAGAGCAGAGAGCATTTGAAAAGTGAAAAAGGTAGGGCTTCTGTGGCTGCACGCTAGCCCCGATTAGGTAATTGCGTCAGCGATTTTCTTGCACACTGTAGTATGGCGGGGAGAAGAGGTACATCAACGCACAAGTGTACTCTGCCACGGTTCTATGTACCTCAGCACGTGACTATGTACTAGGAAAGATGTGTATGGATTTTGTGTAATAACAAAACAATGTCTATATAATCAATCGCGTTTTGTTATCTCGGTTATATACAAATTACTAGACAACGTGGAAAGAGATACAGTAAGGCTGTTGCGTTGCCTTGTAAACTGACACGTAAATGGAAGAGTTTGAAGGTTGTGAAGAACTCGTGATGGGGAGAGACAGCACAGTGCAATATAGTGTGTAACACAGTACGTCCTGGTACAGAGTCGCCGTCCGCAAAAACAAAATTCCGTGCAGCCGAAATAGGGAGCGAAGAAAAATTTCAGTGGAGCAGCCTTAGGGCAGGATGAACAATTTTTGCAAAGCGCACCAAACCGCCCTTGCCCGCCCGGAGAAAGTATCACTGGCACGTCTTTTTTCTTAGTTTTGCTGTGGCCTCCAACATCTTCACAACCAGACATCCACGACAACCAATTCGCGACAGAAGATTCGTGAGTTTCCCCCTTTCTCCCACAACATTTCGCCGCATTTATTCAACACCCCGACCTTCTTCGACATCGACCGCACCGACCTGGGCTGTTTTCGACCGATTTGTTTGCGCATTAACTAACGCCGTCGACGCTTTTCTACTGTTCTTTACTATCAGATCTTTTATCCGACTTTCACATCAAGATGGGAGACGCAACTATCATCGGTTCCAAGTGGCGCCTCGTCGAGGTTGGCCGGGTTGTTCTTCTGCAGAGCGGCCCGTCGGCCGGCCGCCTGGCTACCATTGTCGAGATCATCGACCACAAGCGGGTGCGTTCTATCTTCCAACTGAGAAGCCGTGGAGACGGGAGGCCGCAAGGCATGGGACAAGAGGAGTATCTGGATGCGAGTCCTGCTTGGGGGCCGAGTGGTGGCGCGGAAGATCAGATGGTGTGAAAGTGAAGTCGATTTGCAAAGTCGGACCGCAAAGCTAACAATATGTCCAACAGGCTCTTGTTGACGGCCCCGCAACAGATGCCAACCCCGGCGGCGTCGCCCGGCAATCCGTTGCCCTCGCCGATGTCCTTCTGACCGCGATTGTTATCGAGAAGCTGCCCCGTGGCGCACGGGCCGGCACCGTCAAGGCTGCCTGGGAGAAGGCCGATGTCGATGGCCAGTGGAAGGCCAGCAACTGGTACAAGAAGCGCGTCCAGAACGAGCGGCGGAAGGCCCTTACCGACTTCGACCGCTTCAAGGTTCTGCGGTTGAAGAAGCAGCGTCGCTTCGAGGAGCGCAAGGCTCTGGCCAAGGTTAAGGCGAGCGCATAAAGGAACTGAAAACGGTGAGGGATGAGGGCGTGACGAGCAGATAGAACGGCATTTACTTGCTCGCTTTCCTCTGTATAGTCTCGTTTTGATCTCTTGTTGTTTTGTGTTACTTGTGTGTTTTATGCCCGCTTACCCTTTTCCGCCCTCATTCTTGCTTCTTGCTTCTTCGACGTCACATAATTTAACGACAATCACAAAAAAAAATTCAATAAAAACTCCATCCAAGCCGATCACTCTACCCACACTCGCCCACCTTCACCCACCATCGACCGCCACCTACTATCACTTTTTTTTTTGAACCGCCAACCGACCTATCAGCAACGAATCTTAACAACGGAACGCGCCTTGTTTCTCACAGGATAGCCGACCGGCCGAAAATACGAACCGTATTTCACAACCCATTCTGCTACCCTTTTGCTCTCCAGGCCTTGATCTGAGACGGGCATTGTGTGTCTGCAGAACAAAGGGGAGGGCGACTTTTACATCCAGCGAGATATGTACCATGCGTGCATTCCAATTTTTGGACTCCGATTTGTATGGAAGGGACAGCGGGAGGAGGGAGATGCGACGGAATGAGGAAGAAAAGGTTATGCGGCATGTTGTTGGAGAGAACAGGCGCGCGGCTGACTGGTACATCTTTCTCGGAAAACGGAAAACTGTCTATTGTTCATTGTTTTTTCCTTTCCATTGTCTCGTCTCGACCAAGACGAAAACCAACCCCCAAAATTTTATACAAGAAAAAAAGTCTAAATTACTATTCACCGGGGGGCGCTCTTTAATGGAGGCAGCTTCTTTGCGTTGACATTGTGACGTGACAAGAGCCGTCGTTTGCATGCGATATTTCTATCTACAATGCTTGTGACGGGCTCACATTACATGTGCAATCACTAGCGACTGACATCCCGCATGGCTCATGTATTAATGTATCACTTGCGGCCCATTTGCTTCTCATCACACAGTGTCACCTTGATTTCGTTTTATAAAGTATATTATGACCTAGATGTTCGCTATATGGCACGTCTTCCAAACATAACAACCTGAAATCGGAAAGCAAAAAAAAAAAAACACCCCTCTTCCCCTCGCTGACATGTGCTGTGCTGGATGATATCATAAATCGTTATCGCTGTTCATAATCAACCAAAGACAAAACAACATTTTCTCAAAAAAAAAGTTGAAAATCCACGACCTGCTATCCGCCAAGACGCAGTCTACCATTGCACATATTGATTTCCATCGTAATATTCACCGGTAGTAGCCGGGGTGCAGATGATCGACGACCACTTCGCGTTCGTAGTAACGCTCATCCTCACGACGGGGCCGGTGGTGGCTGTGGCTGCGACGGTTGTGCTTGTGCTTGACATCAATATCAATGTCAACTTCAGAGTACTGCTCTTTGTGGCGCTGGCGACGAATGCGGTCCGACAGCTGTACAAGCTCTTGGACGTCCTCCTAAAACAGTTGTTAGCAAATCGAGAATAACTACAGGGGACTGGGGATGGAGGAGACGGAACGTACGTAGCGCAGATATTGGAGGATGTAGTAGAAGTACTCCGTCTCCTGGTAGTCGTATCCAAGGTAGTCGAGGGCCTCCCGGGAGACAAGGTCCTTGGTGATCTCCGTCCACATGTCGCTCCGAGCCGCTGGCACCAGCTCCATATGTGTGGCCGGCAGTAAAACCATGCGTTGGTCGGTCTCCACTTCGATCTCTCGGTCACGGCTGTGGCTGCGCTTTTGGTCAACGACCTGGATATTTATATGTTCACCTCGACTCGAACGCTCGCGAGGCGCCTCCCGGCGCTTCCGCCGCGGTGGCGCAATAACCTCGCCCTCACGCTCCGGGATGAATCGCGTTCGGCGCACCCCGTTATAGCGCTGCCAGGTAACGTCTGCGGAGGCACCACCGACTCCGTCCATACGAACATGCTCCGTGCCCGGCGGCACATCGATAATGGTCCAGTCCTTGGTGGCGCCATTGTACGCCTCGCCCATACGTCCCCGGTCATCGATGCGCCTCTCAATATACCTCGCCTCGTCAGCCACGGCGTCAGATCGGCGTTCTGTGCGCGTCGGTGGTTGGGCTGACCGAGAGCGGCGAGAACGACGCTCGTCAATGTCGACCTCTAAGTGGTGGCGGTCCGACCGCACAATCACTTCTTTCTCAGACGCGCGGGCCGGAGGTGCCCGCAGACGTGAGCGGGAACGCGACCGTCGCCGTTCGCGGTCTTGAATGTCGACTTCGGTCCGATGGCGAGAGGAGTAGATATCGATCTCTGTGTCACGCTCGCGCTCGCGCTCACGGCGTGGTTCGGGTCTCGGGGGAGCACGGGGTGCGTAGACGACGCCTAATATGTAGAGACAACATGAGCTTCAGCACAGAAAGAATGAACCGGGAATAAGCTGCAAATAGGTTACACGTACCATGGTCCACATCCGTATAGTGTGTAATCACTTCTCGCTCCACAACCGGGCCGCGGACCAACTGTCTTTGCTCTTGCGGGGGCGGCGATGGGCTCGGAGATGGGCCACGAGACCGCTCAATGATGCGGATACGTTCATGGTCACGCTCTGGGGAGGGGGTCGGCGACCGCTGTCGTTCACGATCTATAACACGAGTCACAATGCGCTCTTGCGGTCCCCGAGATGGCTCCCGATACCGGTCCCGCTCCCGCTCTCGGTCGTACACACGCTCCCGGACCTCGACACGATCGACCACTTCACGCTCACGCGGGGGTGGCAGCGGTGACGGGGACCGCTCCCGGATCACCTCGCGGTAGCGGACCGGGCTCGGCGAACGTGCACGCTGCCGCGGCCGCTCGACCGTCTCAACCTCACGCTGGCGCAGAACAAGAGCACCGGAATCGCTGCGCCGATCCTCTTGGAAGTAGCGGGACAAAGGGTCCCGGTCAACATCACGCTCGCGCTCGCGAACACGCACATCCAAGTAGTCGCGTTCGTCGATCACATCACGGCTCCGGTGAGCCATGGTGGGCAGAAAGGGTGTGAAGTGTGAAGATCCGACGTTGTCAAGCGTAGGTTTACGAAGACTAACGCCCGTAACGTAACAGAAGGGGAAAGAAGCTTCAGTCAACACTCAGTCGTCGGCGAAGAATGCTGAGGAGGCGAAAACAATAAACAAGAGCTCGGTCGGGTGAAAGTAAACACGGCGCTGATCGGTTGAGGCTGACAGACGATGCAAATGATGACGACGAGGGGAGAAAAGCCAACGCCAACGTATACTAAACGGCCAAGCACCAGGGAGGCAATGTAAAAAAAGATACGTATCAGCGTATGTAGCTAGCAGACGTGGCTGGCGAAACTTGCGTGCGGCTGACTTGGCTTTGCTGGAGATGACGGGAGCGGAGCAAAATATTCAAACGAAAGGTTTGAGGGGGAGGGGCAACACGTGAACGTGAGCCAGATGGAGAGATGCAGCTTGGCAAGGAAGGAGCGTCGGTCAGGCTTAAACAGACGGCAAGAGGATGAAGGAGAAGGAAGGAAGAAAAACCAGGCGGCAGAGAAGGTGCGCAGGCAGGTTGCGGCGATGGGAAGGCACAACGGGTCTACAAGGCTAACGATGTCATCCCAAAGCAAGATTTTACCTCTTCAGTTGCAGAAAATTGCAGCCCGACAAGGCAAGAGCGAGCAGCAGCCAGGCTCTGGCATTCTGGATCTGGTTGGGCAAGGACGAAAATCCTACGAACGCAGGAAAGAGGGGGAAAGTCGAGGGACGAAACACGTAAAGTTGGTGGGTGCCGGTTTTAGCAAGCACTGCCCCTCTTGGCTCTAACTGCGGGCCGGTGCTAGGGCTTGTCCTCTATTCTAGCGCGTTGTGGGTGGCAGCTGGGGCCAGACCAGCCACTACAAGCCTTCACGGCCTCCATGGCCTCCAACTGGCTCCGTCATAGGGACTGGCGAAAACAACCAAGGAAGGAGCGCTTCCCCAGCCAGACGAGCGGCCAAGCAAACTCTGCCTGAGAGACGCTCAAACATATAACGCACTCGTGCCTCTTTACCGCTCTGGTTGCAATTCCAGCATACTTGCCGTGAACGATATAGTGCGCAGACGTCATGGCTGCCGTCTCTTAACCATTTCAAGCACAAGTGACGCCGAGAATCTGCAGCAGATTGACTCGTGGCCGTTGTGACGTTAGCTCCTGCCTGCCAACGTGCCTTCTACTTTCGCATTCCCGATGACGTTGGTCTTGCCAAAGTTCGTTTCTTTCTTGCTCGTCGTTCTTTGCCTGAACAACTTGTAGAATATGGGCAAGAACGATGCACCAGCCTCGCTACTACGATATTTTTATCGAGGACAACAATGATGCTGAACCTATCTTCTCGACACCATTTTGATTCCTGTCCAGCTATCTTTAACAACAACATGTCTTGAGACTACGATGTACGGCATCTCGTTCCACGCCTCTCGCTCTGATCCTTGTCAACATGCCAGCGGACTCTGTCGATCTCCTTCCCCAAGACATTCTAGAAGACGGCTGATATGCGACGGATGAAGAACAAGAAACCAGCACCACATCTGCACATATTGCCTGCAGTCATCTGTCGTATGACCAGCCATATATCATTTTCAACAAGATCTTGGTCAAAGCATCTTGTTTCTGACGGAGTCCAGCGGGAGCCGTCTCACTCTCGCATATTTCGCGGCCAATACTGACATCTTCGTCTTGACAGCAAAACAAAATGCCATACCCGAAGTGCCTTCGACAATGTAGGAGGGAGGAATGCAAGAGGCCGGCCGACCGTCTCTACGGCAGCTGCATGCTGTGTGAGCAGCATTTATGTGTCAACCATATGCGTCCGGAGAGCCACGCCTGCCCGACCAGAGTGAGCCAATGTCCACAGTGGAATACTTTATGTTCTCAAAACTAACTTATTGCAGGAAAGAGATCCGGACGCTTTCTTTGCTGCATACGACGCTGCCAAAAAGAAGTATCTGTCGGCGCTTCTTGCCAGGCTTAACGTCGATGCGCTTCAGGCAATTGCCACGCGAGCGCGTGATGGAATTTCTTGCAGTATTCCATCTTTGTCGCAGGACCTGAGCGAAGCCACCCGCTTATCAACCGTGTCACGTCAATGTGGCGGTCAAAACGCACACGTGGACGTCGTGTTCACGGATGGCGTAACGTGGCTCGCCCGGTTACGGCTGGATGATCCGCTGTTACCGCCAGCCGATGTGCAAGAAAAGGTCATTGAAAGCGAGGTGGCTACACTGCACTTTCTCGCCAAGACCAAAGTCCCGGCACCTCACGTGTATGCCTACGCATCAACGGCGGCCAACCCGGTCGGAACTCCATATATCCTGATGGAGAAGTTGCCTGGCACGCCGCTGGACTGGCCGAGCACCAGCCCGGCCCAGCAAAAGCACGTGCTGGAGCAGCTCGTGGATATATACCTCGAGCTCGAAAAGCATCCGTTGCCGCAAACTGGCTGCTTGATGTTCTCCAAAGACAAGAAGGATGTGCACGTCGGTAGCTTCGTCCAGGCGCCAAACATTGTTACACCCTCGTCAACACTGGGCCCCTTTCGGACACTGACCGCGGCATACATGTCCATACTTGGTCATCAGATGGCAATGCTGGCCAACGGTGAGTACGGTGCCCTTCGTGTCGACAATTACCTCTCTTTTCTATGGAGAAAACAAGCCCTCGCACAACTCATCGATGACGAACACAGCAACAATGGGCCATTTTACCTTAAACACTATGATGACAAGGGAGACCACCTCCTCGTCGATGCCGATTTCAACATCACCGGCGTGATCGACTGGGAGTGGGCATCCGTCGAGGCGAAGCCTTACGCGTTTGGCTCACCCTGTATGCTGTGGCCTGTCGGCGAGTTTTACGAGGGAAGCAACATTCTCGCAGCCAATGAGACTTTGTTCGCTGAATTGATGTCCTCGCGCGGTGGACGAGATGATTTGGCAACACTGGTGCGTGACGGGCGGCCATGGCAGCGCTACCTCTTTTTTCTAGGCGGCGGGCTACCGTCGACGTTGGATGAATTTGAGCCGCTGTTTCGTGGCCTACAAAATGCTTTTTCGGGCGGCGGCAAGGAAATAAAAGTACCATACCGATACGCGGAGTGGAAGAGTCAAGTTATTGACAACTTTATAAAAGAAGATCCGGACTTTGCCACGTTGGTGTCAAAGGCAGGTGAGGAGTAGGTGGCAGACCGAGACACGAGAAAAGACCAACCTTAACATAAAACGTCTACCGTTTACCTCGAATGATTTTTATGTTTCGTTTTACCAGTCTGTTTCGTTTCACACGCATAAGCTGACAGGGGCGCCAGCCATTGGCCAGGCCCATTCTAGCCGCACCACAACCAGCCGTAAGCGCCGCACCATTTATTTACTTGGCACACAGGAGAGCACGCTTTGTTGCCTGCGGTCGACCATGACGAAAGTGAAAAGAAACGCAGTGGCCAGATGGCTGAGCTGCTATACACACGCACGGCAGAAACTTGGTTAGGTGGCACAGTATCTAACGCAGGAACAGATGCATTGTTTCTCGCTGATGGTGTACGGATCTACTTCATATGTCCTTTTGACGGACCTTGCGTGCGGCAGTCAATCTGGGCACATCGTCTTATGGAGTCGTTCTCTGCACGAGAAAAACAAGAAATGCAGAGTTGTGCGAATTACGGCAAAAAAGGTAAGGAAGCACACACCCACGGCTTTGTCTGCCATCTGCCAGCGTTCTACCCGACATTCTGCGGTGGGCACCATGTCCAGAGCGTCTGCGCGCTTCTCTCGGCCCCATCGTGGGCCCCCTGCATCCGCCCACCCTCCCATCAGACATCGCGATTTACCCGCTGCAGACTGCAGAAGCGATCGGTCTAAGCCAACCAAATGGGCTGTCCTTGTCAAAAGCATGTCCTGTGTTTAATTTTGGAATTTGGCGCCGCAATATCCGCACGCACGTCTCGATATTATGTCTGCACCCAGTCCTCCCAGCTATATTGCACCTCGCTGGAAAATAGGGCGAGGTTCCCTGCTGCGCTGTTGCTGGCATCGGCCTCATCCAACAGACACAGACGGTCGAGCGGCACATGCACCAGGTAGCAATGACTCGGCACACACGAGATGAGCAGGAATGGACAAGTGCTGGACATTCAGCCTGTTGCTTCCGCTCGCATCCTTCCAGTGAAGGTGGCTCAAGGAACCCGTCCAAATCCGGTTGCGTCGCACTTTACACCGACCCTCTACGACGTAATACTTGGTGGATTCACACACAAACGCACTGCGATGTCTCATCGCACCGGCGGGCCTCCCCCTTGCTGGCCGCCCTTTCTGTTCCTAAGCCCTGCCTCGTCACAGACGACGTTTGCTCTACGTCTACTGCCGGCGCGAAATGACGAAAGGACTGTTCTCTGGCCGATGAGTAGGCCCCAGCCATGCGGTGGTGAAAAGATAAAAGGCACACCGTCTCCTCACTGCCCTTCTCTCTCTTCTCTCGCTCCTATCAAACGATTACGCATGTTCCCTTCTCACTGTCTTCAGTCTACCACCGCTCGTTAACCAGTCATTCGTTCAAACATCCATAACAATACGCTTTGCTCCTACACTTCACGCCTCTACCCATCGTCTTCATTCAAACAGACCGTATACCTCCACACCTATATATTGTAATACCCCCTTCACTGTCACAATGAAGTCCGCTCTTGCCTCCCTCCTCGCCCTGGCTGCCTTCGCCACGGCCACCAAATCTTTGAACTTCCCCGGCGGTGGTGATGGTGAGGATTGCTCAGACGAGCCGTACAGCAGCACGGGCTTCTTCGTGCCCTCCACCACCATCCACGCGCATCCGACGACGACGCCCGTCGGCGAGCTTCTGCCGAGTGTCGAGCTGACCACGAGCACCATCTTCTCGACCACGACCAGCACCATTATCAGCTGCCACCCCACCGTCACGTCGTGCCCGGCCGAGAGCACCGTCCTCACCACCGTCACCGTGGCTGTCAGCACCACCGTGTGTCCCGTCTCGTCCGTCCCCACATCGAGCGCCGTGCCTGCTGTCTCGTCGCCGGCAAACACTTGGGTCGCACCCACCAGCGCCCCGGCCGTCTCCTCCTCCCCGGCCGCCCCGTCTGCCCCGGCCCCCGCTGCCAGCACCCCCGCTGCTGAGGCTTCTTCGGCCCCTGCTGCCTCCGCGCCGCCGTCCAAGGCCTGGAGCTCGGCTGCTCACCCCAGCGGTGCTGCTGCTGGCTCCGGCACCTCGGCCCCCAAGACCCCGACCACATCTGCTCCGCATGTCGTTGTCACGGCCGGCGCTGCTCACAACGGTCTCGGTGCGGCCGGCGCTGTTGCCGCAGCCGTTGCCGTTGCCGCCCTTTTCTAATTAAAATAAGGGGTGAAAGTTTGTGAAAGGGCGCTCCTGTCCAATTTCTATACGACCAAAATAAATCAAAAGTCATCATTGGGAACAGACGCCATATGTTGAGTTGGGTACAGAGGAAAGTGGTTCCGGTTTGAATATGTGTGAGTATTTCTTTGCTCGTTTTTTCCCCTGTAATCAACCATATTTCATCTCCATGTTTGACCATAGGTTTGTTTTTTTATTCTGCTGTATTTATTTTCTTGTCAAAGCAACCTAGAATAGTGCCAATCAATCCAGTGTATGTTTATTTAAGGCCCTTTTTTGAGAGTGATAAATCCCACGAACAAGGTGAGTTCTGCGATGCAAAAACGACAGACACTGATATTCATCACAAAAAGGCACTACCTGGTATTGACAGACCACACTGTAATGAAAGACAATAACGGTGAGATCCAGGAACTTTCGCAAAGCCGGAATGGTTTGTTTCCCTCGCTCTCAACTCTTGTCTCGTTGTCCTTCCTTTAGGCCCGTTTCTACACGTGTGCATAAAATGTTTATATGTCCTTCCCCGTGTCTCTATTTGATTGTTTTTCTCTCCTGCCGTTTTCAATTGTTTCTTTCCCAGGGCGTTGAACCGACCGTGCCATAAAGTGCGGCAGAGATTATTCGTCCCCTTGGCTCATTTTATTATATTGGCCTTGCCTATAATTGCCCATTAACAGCCGGCGCACGAGTCATAGACTACCAGTGGTCAGACACCTGGTAAAAGAAGAAGAAAAGCACCGGTAAAAATAAAGTCGTGGACGTGTATGACAAGATAGAGTGAAAAAAGGATATAGAAAATGATAATAATAGGTGGCTTTTCTCCACCGGAATACGCCCTGTTAGCCTAGCAATGCGTTTTGAGTTGAATTTGCATTTCCGATGAGCAAGCCACGATCCGCGGGACGGCTTCTAAAGCCTACGCTCCGGGTATGTTGATAGCATCAAATGCTCTCGATTCTTCAAGATATAAAGCAGGCGCTCGTATCGCGGGCGGACCTCTATTTTCCCAAAATGAGTCTCATTTCCCCAGGTTTCCTTGTTGCTCGTCGAGTATCGCCGTCAATTTATCCCCACATTTCCCTTTCTCGTTGATGGTACACAGTCGACTGGCACTATGGTCTAGGCCCGGCTATCTCGAATGGCCTGCTTCTCGAAACCTGCGAAGCCTTCGTCTATTGAGCCATAACCCGAAGGGATTAAGATTGAGGCAGTGCAGAAAGCCCGGGAAGTCGATTCTTCGCAACGCGTGACCTTGTCAATAGCTTCGTTGTGCTATGACAGCGGACCATGTACACCGACGGCAGATGCATGGTGGCCTGCCAACTCGCTAGTTCGTGACCTCGTCGGTAGTTGAGCAGAATCGTGGAGAGTCGGGATCATCAGGAATTTTACGCTCCTTTCAGCACCGGTCGCGATCGTTCAGCTAAAAGTAATGCATGAAATGGGTGCTGCAAGTCGCGAGCGGTCCGAATCGCTTGTTAGATGACGTTTGCTTATGTTTGTTGGCCTTTGCTGATGCGAAAGTGACACTTGCTCGTTTCTCATGAGCCACTCATGTGCTGAACAAGGCCCATCGCTGTCTTCTCACCGGCCAGAAGAGCCCGCACAGCAGCCCGGTCGCGCGCACCGGTGGCACCAATGACGACCATCTTTTGGATGTCGCCGTCGTCGTCCAGCACAAGACGGCCTGTGCGCCCGTCGGCCCAGTCGAATCGGATCTGCTTGGCTTCGGCATCGGCACCGCTGACATCGGCAAGTAGGGTACTGGCGTCGATACCAACGCCACTGCTGGCGGCCTCGGCTGCCACCTTCGAGGCCCTTTGCTGTACGCTCTTGCGCAGGTCGCCGATCACGGCCAGGCGGTTATGATAGCGAACGAGGGCCCTGCGCGTGGCACGTGCAAACCCATACAGGTCTGGGGACTTGGGCCCCGAGGGCGCGTACTGGGTGGCGCCGAGATGCCGCGTTGCAAGTCCGCCGAGCGGAACAGAAGGCGGGACAGTATGGCGATGCACGCGAAGAGGTGCTTCTTCATCGGACTGGCCTCGGCTGCGGCCGCTCGGGCGGGCACGGTCGGTGTCACGGTTGAGAAGAACGTAGTACGGACGCAGAAACTGCGCACCCATCATGACGTCGAAGCGAAGGCCGAGCACGCGCCCGCCGTCGACGGCGTTTGGGTCCGGGTCACGAACGCGGAAAGCGGTCACGGAGGCCCCTGCGCGGTAGAGACCCTGTTGCTTGTGGGCATCGTGGGCGTAGCACAGCTTCAACAGCTTCTTTCTTGTGGTAGCATCGCGATGGCTGTCGTCATTGAGAATCTGGCGAGTTCTCGACGCGGAGAGCAGTGTGGAGGTCTGGACTTGGAGCTGCTTTCGCAAGACCACAGCTGGACAACAGTCAGTAAATGTTATATTTTCGCCACCATATCGTAAATCCCCACCCACTTACCCCTCTCGCGGAGCTGCTCAATCTCATCATCGAGTGTCGATGCCATGGTTGGTTGCTGGGGCTGCGCAAGGCTGTGAGAGGCTGTGAGTGAGAGACATCGAGACGCGTCGCGATAAAGGGCTGTTGGGGGGTCAGCCATGTTGCGAAAATGACTAAGCTGAACAGGGTTTAAGTGGCAGTTAGGACCCTCCCCTGTAACGTATAGGGCGCGTTACTCCCTAAAATACTTAACAGCCAATGGCAGCACTTGGCAGGCTCCCTGAACTGTATCAGAATCACGTGCAGTCGCACCTCCCCCACAAATGCCATTGCCCGATTTGGTATTTGGCGTGTTCTTGCCTTGTTGGCACCTTCCTCTAAAGCCAGGTATTTTCTTCGTTCTTGCCTTGCCCCTGTCCTCAGCTTCGACGTCCAACGGCATCGTGACGTGTCAAAAAGGGCTTCAAGCAACGCTCCCGTCGCAGGCTGCAGACAACCCCGTTGCAGCACCCCTCACCCACTCGCTTTTAGCCTTGTTTTTCCCTGCGAGATTTCGTTCGTTGGGCAGGTCTAACTCTCGGCCTGCCGCCTATTTGGCGCCGTTCCGTTTGCCACCGCGTTGACACAGAGGCCACGGTTGCTTTAGCTGCCGATTTCCAATCAAAGAAAAAAAAGGTACTCGGATGCTCCGCCGCCGGACAAAACAGCCCTCCGAGGCTTCCTAGGCACCACATTGTCGTTTCAATTTACCCACTGTCCTTTACGCACCCACTTACACGGCACACAAGCTCTCGCACACCGCAGACAGTCGCCCCTACACTGGTCGTGCATTGGACAGTTTGACGATCGACGCCCCTTGAGGCTGGTTGGCTACCTTCTACCGCCGTGTTCTTTTTATTTCTCGTTCTTCTGTCCCGCCTTCCAGAAGCTTTTGTCCTAACAGGCCAACGAAGCGTCTTGGCCACGTTGCGACCCTCTCAGCCGTGTTCTTTTCTTTCTGCTCGACAGTCTCTCGACATCTTCGATCCTCTCTTTATTCTCTACCAACATACCCGAACCCTACCGTACCCGATCTCTGCCGCTTCACAACTTGACCGCATCTACGATCTGCAGCTTCGCATCGACAACCACACTGGACACTACAACCCATCAGCACTCCCACAACAAGCATCCTTGCTTTTACAAATCTGCACCATCTGCACCTAGCTCTCCACTACCTTCCACGATCACCGGTTACCACTTCCCTTCCAACCACTCGTTTCTCCTTCACCTTGGAAACACTTCCAACACACGATACCTCTTCGCCATCTTCAAGACCATTCCAAACCTTGGAGACCCTTAGCCAATTCGACGACTTCCACATGGGTGCCAGATCTCGACGCTCCAAATCCCGCAACGTAGACGGGCCTCCCATAGATACCTCCGATGACGACAGAACACCTTCTCCCTCCAGAAGACAGAGTAGCTCACGCCAGAGCACAACCGGAAGCAAGACAGCAAACGGAAGCATACGGCGAAAGTCGAGCAAACTACACCTGTCCATTAACGCGGGCGATATAAGCCCCAACGGCAACGGCCACAGCCCAAGTAACGGCAACGGCAAGATGAACGGCGGCGTTGAGTTGCGCCGTAAGGGCGGCAACGTGGAGTCGGATGCCGTGACGTCCAACCTCATGGCCCGCGAGTCGTTTACCCTCGACGACCACGTCCCCACGACTCCCAAGATCAACAACCACGGCTTCTTCGAGCTGCCCAAGGAGGACCAGCGGAATTTCGGCCTACTGGTCCTGCTCTACTTTTTGCAGGGCATCCCGCTCGGCCTCGCCACGGGCTCCGTGCCCTTCATGCTCAAGAAGCACATGTCCTACAGCCAGATCGGCGTGTTCACGCTCGCCTCGTATCCTTACTCGCTGAAGCTGCTCTGGAGTCCCATTGTGGACGCCGTTTGGAGCCCCAAGGTAGGCCGCCGCAAGAGCTGGATCCTGCCGATCCAGATGTTGTCAGGCTTCGGCATGATCTGGCTCGGGTCCGAGGTCGACGGCATGATGGAGACCATGGGCCAACCCGGCGGCTCCACAATCTGGAACTTTACGCGCTGGTGGTTCTTCTTGGTGCTCATGTGCGCCACGCAGGATATTGCCGTCGACGGCTGGGCGCTGACGCTGTTGACCCCTGGCAACATCTCATACGCCTCGACCGCGCAAACGGTCGGCCTGACCGGCGGCCATTTCCTGTCGTACACCGTCTTTTTGGCCTTCAACTCGCCCGACTTCGCCAACCGCTGGTTCCGCTCGGCGCCGCTGGACGTGGGCCTGATGGAGTTGGGCCACTACCTCAGCTTCTGGGGCTGGGCGTTCATCATTGTCACGCTGGGCCTCGCGCTGCTGAAGCGCGAGGAGCGTGCGCAGAACGAGGAGGGCGTCTGGGACGTGTACCGGATCATGTGGGGCGTCCTGAAGCTCAAGAACGTGCAGACCATCATCTTCGTGCACCTGATTGCCAAGATTGGCTTCCAGGCCAACGATGGCGTAACAAACCTCAAGCTGCTCGAAAAGGGCTTTGGCACCGACAACCTGGCGCTCACCGTGCTCATTGACTTTCCTTTCGAGATTGGCCTGGGCTACTATGTCGGCAAGTGGTCGCAAGAGTTCACGCCCATGCGCATCTGGTGCTGGGGCTTCGCGGGCCGCCTGGTGGCGGCCGTCTTTGCCCAGCTCACCGTCATTTTTTTCCCGGTCAATGGCGTGAACCATCTCTACCTGTTCATCGTCATCCTGGAGCACGTCATGTCGACCTTTATGAACACAGTCATGTTCGTCGCCGTGTCCGCGTTCCACGCACGCATCGCCGATCCGGCCATTGGCGGCACCTACATGACGCTGCTGGCGACCGTTAGCAACCTTGGCGGCACGTTCCCGCGCTACTTTGTGCTGCGCTTGGTGGACTACTTTACGAAAGCGACGTGCCACCCGGGGGCGTCTGAGATGGCAGCCAAGCTCAAGGGCCCGCTCGTGACGGAGGCGTTCTCGTGCGCAGTGCAGCTGGAGAAGGAGCGGTGTGTCGACGGCGGCGGCACGTGTGAGCTGGAGCGCGATGGCTACTACATTGTCAACATCTTGTGTGTGCTGGTGGGCACGGTCGCATTCACCATGTTCATCCGGCCGCAGGTGCTGCGTCTACAAGCACTGCCACTTAAAGCATGGCGGCTGTCCGGTGGCAGATAAGACGTGGGCGACAAGAAGACGGCGCCAGAATCACACAGCAGATGACAAGGGCGGGGAAGAAGCATGGCATTCTGTTCCTAAGCATATCATTGATTCACGTTTTCTATTCTATACCTTTGTTTCTGCACTGCATTTGTTAGGTAGTTTCCGGTGGGGCATGATTGGACACACACAACTTTTTGTCTACGTGGGCATTTGCGACTGGCCTCGTTGTGGCCAAGACTGGAATATAGGATAACCTCCCTGTAGAAATATGCCAAGGCAATGGATCAACCGTACCTGTTGTCGTGGGATGTCGAGTCACCTAGTATGAAAAGAGTGGCTGTTAGTGGTGATCGTGATAACATGATCTCGAGCCAGCATCAAAGCAAAATAAGGTAAGGAGTTTGTGTGAAATGCCCTCAGATTAGCTCTCTTGTGGTTCTCATTTGCGGTCTCCAACCAGCCCCGTCCGTATTTAAAGGTCATCCAGCAAGACAGACGAACAGCGTCAATGGCGTCCAGAGCACTTTTGAGAGCTCCGTCCTGACCATCGGTCTGTACGCCCGCCTGTGCTGGATACGTCCTCAAAAGCCCAAACGAGGCCTGTAATGCGGGCGAAGATCCATCAAATTTGGCTTTTGTTGTGTCCATTGGACTTTCACATCATAGGGCTCATGTTTATAGCCGACATAGCAGGCCATGAAGGTAGTGTGTCCCAGGGGTAAGGAAAGGGAACAAGCCAGCAAGGACGAAAAAGAATGGGAGGGGACCGAAGGGTCCACCAACGTCCTTGCCTCTACGGCGCTCTGTTGTCTTCTCCTTTCCTCTGTCCTTCGAGACACCAAACCGCCTCGTTCCAGAACAAGGAGAAGAGCCACGGCTTTGAAACCACGTCTGCGATTCTCCAGGAACTCGGATTGAAAACTATACTTGTTTTTTGGAAGATCATCGCCTGAGACCCAGGCTGCGTTACCAGCAAGGGACCGGAAGGCTCGTTCCACTGTGAAAATTGTCCTCAGTGTTCCGCCCAACAAAGCTGGACCGTCTGGATACGCAGGGGTGTGGCCAAGAGAAGAAGAGAAAAGGAAGAAGGTGTAATACAACAGAGCGGGCGGCGGGAACTCGTCGACTCCTCGCGGTGCCTTTTTCGGCCTTGCCGCATGCCCTGTCCTCCTCGATCAGCGAGATTCCACTGAAACAACGGTCCTTTCTGCTCTGATCTCTGTTCTTTGATGGGAGTTGTCGACGGAGAGGTCTGAAAGCACCTAAAGGGCCAGAAGGAACCCTCCCGCCTCTTTCTGTGCGCCTTCGTCCTCCCTTTCCGCCAATATCCTCCCGCCTCTCACGGCCAAGCTCGACTTCCGGGGGCTCACACCACCCAAATGCCTTGCGAGACGTATCGAGACTAAGAAAAGGGAGTAAGGGGGCCAAAATGGCACCCTTTCCCCTTTTCCCGTTGGTGTGGTTATCTTCACTGCAGAAGCCCCGTATATGGAACGCAATAAGAGACGAAAGGGAAGGAAATGTAAGATGTATCATGGAATGAAGGACAGAATGGCATAGTGCAACAATAGGCGAAGAAACAAGCAGACAGTAGAATCAAATGGATATAAACTTGTCACATAACGTACCTATTTTGTTACATTCCGCCATTTCTCGGAGGACTATTCTGGACGATGCCCCTTCTTTCTCGCTCGGGCTCATGCAGAACCGAAGCCATGTACTCCGGTTGTCGACCTATTTCTGCGTATGTGACCTTCAGTTGAGATTGGCGCGTGGCGTGAAAGTGAAAGCTTGAGTCGCGCTCGGCGAAGATGCTTCAGAACATAGGCCCCACTCTTTTCTGTGATTACCAAATTCTGTACGGAGTGTTTTAGTGGGTCGGTTCGGCAGGCCCAATGGTCACTGCAAGGGGAGGCGAATCCAACAATCGGCCGCCTTTTCAGGCAGGTGCGACTGGCACTCAAACTGGCCCCAAAAATCCCCAAAATTCGTACCACAAATTAGGCAAGTGGAGATCGAAAATAAGAGTCATACTTTGGGAAGTCGCGCGACCAATTCGTCTCCCACCCGAACAATGGCAAGAAAATTCTGCCAACGACCATTGACAGGAATAGGACCCCCGAATTCACCTTTGGGAACCGAGAATGGGCTATATGAATAGACATGAGGTCATTTTTCATTCAAGAGTCAGTCAAAGCACAAAAGCAACTTGGCGCAGCGGAAGCGCGCCGGGCTCATAACCCGGAGGTCCCTTGATCGAAACGAGGAGTTGCTAATAAAGAATGCTTTTTTTTTTGTTTTTGTTTGTTTTTGCTCTTGTATTCTTCTGTTCTTTTAATTTAAGCTCGTGAATTCCATTTTGCTATCTATTTCTCCCTTTACGGTGTCCCTGCTATCGTTCTCAAAGGTTGTTTTCCTTTTAAAAACAAACTTAAATTTTTCGATTTTAATTACCCCAAAAAGACAAAGAAGAAATACAGAACTTGATAAAACAAAAAAATAAAAAATAAAAAAAAGAGAAAGAAAAAACTTACAGGAATATAGCCACTTCTACCCCCACCAGTTACGGCTATGATATTGGCTCCTGGATCACGTCAATTTCCAGTTTCGAAAATGATCTTTAACAACTATGGTTTAAAACTATTGTGAACACGCATATATTAGGATCTGGGCCTTTTCCCTCTTTACACCCACGACAGAAAATATGAAAACAGACTTAAATAAAACACAATTGTACAGATCCGGATATCATACAAAAAATAATAATACACAAACTCAATACCCCAACTCCGCAATCCACATTTCAGGTGATTAGTTCTTCTTGTTCTCCAGGTGCCATTCAAACACCCGGCGGAAAATCGTCTTGGCGTCCTTGGTGATGGTCTCGCCGTGGCAAGGGACAATCGTCTCAAACGGCCACGAATCCATCACCCGGATGCCCTCGTTGAAGCGCACGCGATCGCTGCTACTGGCAAAGTACCACAAAAAGCGCCGCGTCCATTTGACATCGCCTTGGGTCCGCAGTAGAGCCTGGAAGAAGCGGTTAAGGAAGTTGGTGTTGCGCCGCGTGGCCGGATCAACGCGCTGGTACTGCTCGTTGGCGGGCAGGTTGAACATGAGGTCGGCCTGGATCAAGACGTTCTCGGGCCGGTAAAACAGCACAACCTCCTTGTTGGGGTGCATGTCCAAGTACACGAGGCCGAAGTCGGCGTCAAAGTCGGGGGCGACAGACTGCGCCTCGCTCATGGGCTGCTTGCGCTTGTCCTGCAGGACAGCAAAGAAGGCGTCGTCGACGTTGACGCGCGGGTCTTTGCCCTTCGTGGCAGCGCGCTTCTCTGCGAGGCCCTGGGGCGCCACAATGCGCGCATTCGGGTAGGCTTTGAGCCACTCCGACAGAAAGATGTGGTGCTCCATGTCGGGCGCGACAATGTACCGGACACCCTCCTTGCCGCCGAGCCGGGTGACGACGGCGGCCGCATCGGCCGTGAGGGCGACGGGTGAGAAAACGAGTACACCGCCACCAGTCAAGCGCACAATGGTGCAGCGCCCACCAATCTCAAAGAGACCGGCACGCAGGAACGGCAGCGACAGTGTCGTGATGTTGGGCGTGAGGTCACGGATGACCATGACGTCAGCCGGGTTGGCTGGGACGAGCTTGTCCGACATGTCGCGGAATGTGTCTTTCGACGACGATTTGGGGTTGTATGAGAGATGTGATGCCTCTGGCCTGGAAGATGGCTGGTTTGAATATGTACGGCGAGCTGCTGGAATGTTATAGGAGAACGTAGAATGGAAGCTCGTGATAGATGGTCGACTAACTGTCCAAGGTAAGCTGTGGAAGCTGTAGAAGCTCTGTACCTTTTTGATGTTCTGGAGGTTCTGGATGTTCTCGATGTTCTGAATACTTCGAATGCTGGAAAAGCTCGCGACATGAGTTTTTATATGTCGTTGGACGTCAAGGCGATGCAGAGACATGGAGCATGGTCGTCCCGTTGGCCGATTCGGTGTAATGTTGCGACTCGGACGAGCCGGAGAGGCTCGAACAAAGGCCGTGACAAAACAACGTGGCAGCGAGTCCTGCAGGCCTCGGCACGCCCTGTTCGGAACACTCTGAAAAGGGAAGGGGCTGACTAATTTCTCGGCAACGCCACACGAAAGCATTAGGTGTGGTTGCATACAATGCAGAAAACACAAATAAATAATTTGAAATCGTGCCCTTTCAGCCTCGCGATGCCCGAAGGTTTGAAAACCTAATACATCGCTCGAAAATACCAACCGTATGTCGTGCTGCTGCGCCCCGCACGTCTTCCAAATACTGCCACTGAAGAGTGGAATTGGAATCGCAAATAATGGATCCACTCCTAATTTGCACAATGACGTCAGTCACGTGAATACTGAGCGAGGCCCATTATATTAGTCATCTCAGATCTCCACCTGAGCGTAACGCGTCTAGGTCTCCAGATTGCCAGCCCTAAATAGTATCTTGACATGCAGAGGCATCTGACATCTGAAGCCACGACTGGCAGCAGACGATGGGCTTTTCAAGCGAAATACCTTCACGACAGTCGGATGCGCCATTGGTTTCCTCGTTACTGGTACTTCGCTACGGTACTGCTGCGCCACTAGACAGGATTCAAGACGCGCGGAAGCTGGCTAGACAAGCATGAACAGAAGTCGCTTGTTGCCAGGTTCAAGCTTCGTGGGTCGTCCGTGCTTGTTACGGTATGCTGCTGAGTAGCAAGCGACCATCTCTTCTGACTTATTTCGCATTCTAATAATGTGTCACGGTCCCAGAGCCACGGAGCCACGTCTGGTCGAGCTTGTTCAGGACCTTCGTTTGCCTGAATAGGCCAAACTAGGTTGGTCACGTTCAAACATGAGCCTCCCAGTCGAGAAAAGCTTGGGAGTAGCCGAGCACTCTATCATCTGACGAATGTTAAGTTCCCTCGTGCATTTTATAAATGAAACTGATAGTCTTGGCCTACCTTCCCTCGTCGCACGTATGCCCTTTCCTCTTTCGAGACAAACAATGTCGAAAGTGGTTGCTGCATCTGGCTCCTTCCTCTCAAGCCGAGATGGTCCCATCCTTCTTGGGACATCATGTGTTCCTTCCCCCTCTGGGCGGGACGCATGGATGCTTTCCTTTTGCCTCTGTGTTGGCAAGTGCGAACGAATTGGGTTCCCCTATCCAATGCCCATTCTGCAAAACAAGACACTGCTGTTTGCGTTAGAGAGTTCGCGCTGGCACTCTCTCCATCTTCTATTTGTTGTTCTTGATATGCAGCATCCATGGTACCAGCAAAATGCCAACGCCGCGTTACTGCCCAAGCATGGCCTTGCAAACATGACCATGAAGTCAGCGGAATGGTGCAGAATTGCCCGGCACTCGCCAGATTGCGGCAGAGATATAGAGACCATGATACGGGGTTCACAGCGACCGGAGATCAATTGCTCGGGAGCGAGAGCATTGTCGCGGCCGACCATCCCCGTGCTGGACTTCAGTCTCTTCATCGACTTTGCTTTGACTCTGCCGGAGTGGAGATGCTGTATTCGACACTATGCACGGCCAGCATCAATATACGTCCCTTGCACTCACTCCTTCGTCGCGGACATTCTCTCATCGCTCGCTTCCTTGTCAAAACCAGTCTTCTTAACCTCACCATTGCGTGGAGTGAGAGATTGATCCCGGCCAAAGAAAGCGAAAGTTGATTTGTTTCCCCGAATCCCGGGAAGCAAGTACATGTTCCCGCGAATATCGAACCTCGGGAATGTAACAAAGAAGACGCCACAAGGCCTATAAGAGAAACGGACTCCCTTCTCTACAGACACGGGAACGACGAGAAATTAGCAAAGAAGAGATATAGATACGTCCCCGCGTTCTGTTCAAGACAGACACACTCTGGTGGAATTTGGAGAGGCAGACAACTTGCTTCATGAAGTCCACTGTCCCATATGAAGGTTTGAGTCCGGATGGCCTCGGCGAGATACATATCTCTTATATCGATTTTCGCCGCCATCACAGCTTACCTTCTCTCGTCTTCTCTTATTCTCTCCTATATTCCTTCTCACGACACGTCTGCTAGTAAAATTTGCATATTACTCGACGAAGGGCAATATCAATGGACCAGCTCTTTCGGAAATGTTTTTCGCATTGGTACGGAAGAAAACTTCTCAACCACAAATGGGGGTCTATCCTTCCCACCGGCGAGAAAGATAAAACCGCATCTCGGCATGTTCGACAAAGGGCCTTCGTTCTCCATTGTGCCGAGACAGACGGACAGAAAGTATGACGGATAATACGCAAGGCCATTCATGAGGAGCATGGTGGAAATCGCGAAAGAAACCTACGAAGTCTGACAAGACCAGCTACCAACACATGTCAACCAGTATGAGGTACTCAAATTGGGGACCGACCTGAGAGAGGACAATGGTCTCTCTCCACTGCCTCCTTTTCTCGGCACTGTTTGTGTTGTAGCTCTTGAATCGATGCGCCTCGTTTCTTTTCTTGATCCTCTAAACGGCCAGAGCTCGAACACGCACAAGAGTCATTCATTCGGAGGTGGGCCCAACACCGATACGCTCAACAATACTTCTCGCCATCCAGAGTGCTCTTGTCTTTCTGGATTCCCCAAATTCCACTTCGTTGGTCGTCCTTCTTTCCTTCCTTAGACTTTCTCACGCACATGGCATTGTCCTCTCTTGTCTCGCGTCGTATACCAAAACCTCTCCGGGTGTCTATCTCAATTGCGTCCTTCATGAGCCTCACCATTTTCATTTAGTGGCTGATCAGGAGCCAAATGCATGTGGGGAAGCATTGCCAATTGCGCTAGAGAGTTGTTCGGTGCTTTGGATGTGCTTGGCGAGCAACGGGACACTAACACACGAGCCGGCAGACTGTCGATCAAATCGTCCACTTTGCACGCCTCCTCAAAAAGAGAGAACTGTCTGAATATGGGGCGTTTCTGTCCCACTGAGAACGCTATTGAGAATTGCATTCGACTCGCAGAGAGCAACATCTTGTACAAGGCTTGCCAAGGGCACAAGTCTGGTGTATTTTACGAGTGCGACAACAAGGGGAAGTAGGAGACGACGAATGCCATCATTCTACAATATCATCTTCCCTGGTACGACGCCAGTGGCCAAACTACCTAACGATCAAACGACCCAACGACCAACTCCGGTGTACATCATCTTACGCTCAACATCCGCCATCTCTGTGTGAATATCTCCCCTAGTTTTCGAGTCCCAGAACCTCGTACTGACTCCAAGAACTCGTTGTGGTCTTCTGAACTCTCCTCATCCACGAGTCAATTCAAAGATAAACCTGTCCCACACTGCCCTAGTCTATAAGCTGCAAGGTACTTATGGAACCTAGTTTGGAACTATTTTGCAGGAAGTACCATTACACAACACCCTGACAGCACTGAGTTCAAACCCCTTCATTTCTCTATTTCATCCCTGAATCAATTCCTGCAGCGTTGCTATCCTCTAAATTAGCGTTCGGAGTGGATGCCTGAGCAGGAGAACTTTGACATCTGCCATCCAGACGCCGAAACCCCCGATGTCCTCTTTCTCCTTCTAGGAGATTCTTTTCTTTTTTTCATTCTTGCCAATATGCAGCCGGCCCAAAGCGGAGAAGGCATTGCCAGTCGCATGCAGAAAGTTGCTAGCACATCTCAAGGTGATAGAAATATTGGAGCGGTCGGGGATCTAAACTGCAAACTGAAAGTCTCAGCAGTTCTGTGGCTCTGGAGACCAGCCCGATTAAATGCGGCTCTTTTCTGTATGGCATGCACCCCCTCTTTGCAATAACCCCTAGCAGGCCCTCCCAGCAGTCGATCGCAGGAGACGATTCAAAGACGCAAAGAGGCATATCGATCCCCTTTGAGAAAATTACACTTTTTCAACATTAGGAAGAGGTAAGAACGCACTCGTGCAGCAATTGCAGGACTGTATGGGCTTGGGAGCCAGAATGGAGATCATACGCTGCCAGCTAGAGTAGGGTACCCCACAATAGTGGACTGACTTTCATGTGCGCAGTTTAGCTTCTGACTTCTGGAAAAGTAGAAGAGACTGCCTGACTGCCCAAAATAGTCAAGGTGCATAATCAGGTCCAACTTGGAGGACTGTTGGACCTCAAAATGTGCCAGAATGGGGGTTAGAGCCAACAGGCACAGCTTCGTTTGGCAGCCAACGAACAACGCTTCAGCCCGTTCTGACTTACAGGTCTGTTGGCTTTAAAAATGATTGAATTTCGGTGGATTTGACGGTGCCCAAGTGTCAGCAAGCTGCTGCCAACAAAGCCGAAGCAGAACCCCGGCAGCCCGGCGTGTGGACAGGGCAACATCATGAGCGATTGCGGCGGGCCGAGGGCGGGCCAGTCCAGGGCAGCATTGGCATCCTGGCGTTCTCCATAAGTACTGTGCGTATCCTTTTACATACAGAACAGGGACCCCTGCCCTAGTACCTTGGCTCCTTGGGAGATAATCGATATCATGTACGAGCATCTTCCAACTTAATATCCCGTTTCAGTATGTCGTATACGGCAAGTCATGCGAATCTGGTTAGTTTTGCGCGGGACTCGACTAAATTGTGGATTCCAACGGCCGGACCAAGCTTCAAGGCTGGCGGAAGCACGTCGTCGAAATAATTTGTACCTTGCACCA